TAAACCACTGCCTCTTGAGTGGCTGTTTTTGTTTCTCATGAAGAAACAATAGTTTTGAAACTTCTACTTCCTCTGGGGTGTAGTTTTATTAATTATTAAAAAAATAATCATTTTCTCATTATCAACTGGATATAATTCCTAATTCATCCTTTCTAATTAAAAAATATTCTCTTTGTTGCCTTATCTTTTGACACTATAGTCTTTTTCCTTCTTTAAAGCCTCTTTTTTTAATTTACGTATTTATCAACCTATACTTGTCACACTGCAGACAGTTTTTCTTCCATTAAGTCTATTGGCACACTTAAGGTAAACAATACAGTTACATTTATCATTGGGACCTTGTTCCTTTACATGATACATCTTGGTTCTTATTTTTTCCCCATTCCCCTGCCCTCCCTTCACCACCTCCACCCTGCTCTATTTAAGAATACTTTGTTGCTACTGTTTTCCTTTTTTTCAGGTTTTTTCTTTTCCTTTATTTCCTTTCCCCTCACCTGACCACTTCCCCTTCTCCTTTAGACCTTCTATTCCTATTTCACATTTTAATTTATACCACTTAAACCTTATTTACACTTTTAGTTTTTTAAACCAGTAAAATTATTCAGTATTTACTCAACTGTGTCCTATTTATTTCACGTGAGTATGTCCTCAATGTGCATCCACTTAGCTATAAATGTCTGTAGTTTCTCATTCTTTATGGCTGGGTAGTACCCCACTTTATAAAAAACCCACATCTTTATCTAGTCTCCAGTTAATGGGAAATTGGACTGTTTCCAAGTTTTAGCTATTACAAACTGTGCTACTATAAACATGGATGAGCATATACCACTCTGGTATGATTCTTTTAATTCTTTTGGGAAGGTATCCAGCAGGGGAATAGCTGGGTCAAATGAGACCTCTAATCCTAGTTGTTTGAGATATCTCTATATTGATTTCCACAGTGGTTGCACCAGTCTGCACTCCCACCAACAAGGAAGAAGGGTTCCTTTCTCCCACAAGCCAGCCAACATTTGTTATTGATTGATTTCTTGATAGCAGCCAGTCTTTCTGTGGTGAGGTGAAATCTCAGTGTTTTCACCTGCGTCTCTTAAATGACCAGTGTTGTTGAACATTTTTTCATATGTTTATTTGCTGCTTTTGTTTGTCTGAGAAATGTCCATTTTTTTCGGATGCCCAGTTTTGCATCAAGTCTTTATGTTTGGGGGATCTGATTTTTTTGAGTTCCTTATATAATCTAGACAGTAGTCTTTTGTCTGAGGACCAGTTGGTAAAAAAATAATAGTTCTGTTATAGTTTCTCTTGCTCTGCAAAAGCTTTTTAATAGTATTAGATCCCACTTATTGATTGTTTGTGCTAATTACCATGCTACTGAGGATTTGTTCATAAAGTTTTTTCCTATGCCAATGTCGTTGAGAGTTCTACCTAACTTATTTTCCATCAAGTTTAGTGATTCTGTTTTGATAGAAAGTTTTGAGATTCTTATTTCCAAAAATGATATTATTCACTTGATCCTCAAACTTTTTATTTTCCCTTCTCTAGCTGTATTTCAAAGTTTAACGTTGTTTTAAACAGTGTTCTCCTCTTAGCCTCTTTGAAAAGTTTCTTTGCTTTCATATTTGACAGATTCTTTTTGTCTTACTATCTCTTCTTTCAAGTCTAAGCATTTTCACCTTTTTCTCCAACTCTCTTTTTTTTTGCTCTCCTTCCCTATCCCTCTTCTCCCCTTACTTGTTTTTGTACTGTCATTGCAAAGGAGAATTTGTGTTGGGGTGAGAATTGTGTGCTAAGCTAATGCTAAGCTAGAGACAAGGTGTGTGTGGAGCTTGGACACTTCCTGAGAAGGAAACTTTTCCTTGCATCCCTGTCAGATAGCAGAGCACAAAGCTGACTATCACTACACATTTCTCACTTGTTTATTCACCCCAGATGTCCTGGAGATTTTTGGCAGATTAACTTTACTGAGAAGTACAGATCAAGGGCTGCACGAGGCAGTGTGAATCGCTGTCCTTCACCCCCACGAACACTTGTGTATCTGACAAACCTCTCTGTGCCTCAGTTCCCTGTCTTGAGAGTCAATAACAGGACACTACTGAATGTCAGTTACTCATTCTACATGAATCTCGCTGAACAGTTTGGCATATGGAAAGAAGCTCTATCTTTAAAAATAACCTGTAGTAAAACACTTTATTAATTTCCTCCTTTTTAAAGAACTAAGTTCAAATTCCTTGTTTTTATTCTATGTAATATGATTGATTATAAATCCTCTTTTCTGTTTTTTTTTGGTACCAGGAATCAAACTCGGGTCCTTGTGATTGTGAGGCAGGCACTTTCTTTTGTTTAGATCCACTTTTCTAAGTCCGTTCCACATTTGTGGCAAATTCTGCCTCCCAGCTGAGGAGCCTCTTGACAGCATGGTTGGTTTTGTAACCATCTTTATTTTCCCAGAATTGCCCTCATGGCACGTGCTGTATACTTAAATAGTTAGAAAATGTCATGTTTTCAGCTCCTTGTATTTGATATGTATTTTTTTTTTTAGTAGCAGACCTCTTCTTTTTTACCTATTGAGGTCACACCTTTGCAAAAAATACAATTTTCTTATAAATTTCACACTATATTCTCAGGGTCATTTTTGTGATTAAATAAAAATTATCTTGATATTAGTATTTAGGTGCATTTTGACTTTAACCTCCTATTTCTTCAGGACTAGATTGTGTCCTTTTAGTTTTTTGGAATTACTTTCAACTCTTCAACCCCAAGATGGTGTGGTTACCTGCATCTCCAATAATTATTCATAATAATTCTGTTAGTGTTGCTTTTCCTATAGGGAAAAATGAGCAGTTTGCTCATTGGTGTCTGTGTCTTTGCGTATACTATTGACTACAGATCCCCAGTTCACAGTTAATTGTCATGTATCTGTCTTGTTCCCCACTTGAATCTCAGTGGAATAGCAGATGAATACATCATGTTTTTTTTTTCTTTTTTAAAAAAATTTAATTTATTGGTACATTCTAGGTAGACAGTACAGCTACATTCATTACTGGGATCTTGTACCTTTACATGCCAGGTCTTGGTTCTCATTTTTTCCCCTTGTCCCCACCCTCCCTTCACCCTCCTCTCCCCGCTTCAAACACTTTAATTCCATTTTTACATTTTCCCATATTTTTTTCCTTTTCCCTTATTCCCCCTTCCCTATCCTTCTCACTGTCCCTACACCTTTGGTCCTTTTCTTCCTATATGCTAATTGTCCCATTGGGATCTTGAGTACTATTATAGTTTTTCACACCAGAAAAACTATTTGGTATTTGCATATGTGTGCCTTATTTATATAGAGTCTCATGATGCAGTCCAGGCTGGCTTTGGATTCATGGCAATCCTGGGTGGAATTAAAGGCTTGTGCTACCACATCTGGCTTCAATGGATTTAAAGACTGGTTTCACATTTATGACTTTGTGACATTTGACAGTCATATAAACTCTCAGAGCCTCAGTTTTATCAATTAAAATGGAGTCAGTGAAATCTCCTTTCCAACCAAGCTTGTTGCAAGTATTAAAATAGATTTTGATATGAGTTGCATGTAATGCAAGGAGAATATCTGAACTGTTTTAAGTGGCTAGCAATTACCATCTATCATTGTGATTTTATACCCTATAGCTGACATAATTTTCCCACTTATATTCTTATTAAGAGACTGTATAGGCAGAAATAGGAATAACGTGATATTGTCTGTCCTTTTCATTATTACTTCCAAAGGATCATGTTATAGCACAATGTACATGTATTATAGTAAGGGAATACTTTTATGGTTTGTGATTATGCTTATGTTTCTATTGCCAAGGATAACCATAACATTTCCTGGGTTCTTCCATCTATTTGTTTTTTTTTTAAAATTGAGTTTATTGGTACATTTTAGGTATACAGTACAGTTACATTCATTATTGGGATCTTGTACCTTCACATGACAGGTCTTGGTTCTCATTTTTCCCCAGACCCCTGCCCGCCCTTCACCCCCCCCCAATTACAAACACTTTATATCCATCTTTTCATTTTCTCACATTTTTTTCTTTTCCCTTATTACCTTTCCCCTATCTTTCATCCATTTGTTTGCTTTATTAGAGCTGGTAGTTACTGAGAAAGTGAGAGGAACACTCTTCTTATGAAAAATGAATACTGTTGAATTTAAGAACTTTGAAGTCAAAACTTAATTTTGACTTCTGAAGTTTTGACTTCAAATGACTTATTTGATTTCATATGACTTATTAAGGTTTGGCTATATAAAGGTTCTAATTAAAGCAAGTTACTCAGGAGAATATATTTTAGGATTAGGAACTGACGATTAGCCGAGTGTGGTGGCCCACTCCTGTAATCCCAGCATTTGGGAGGCTGAAGCAGGAGGATTGCTGTGAGTTAGAGACCAGCCTGGGTACACAGTGAGTTCCAGGTCAGTCTCAAATACATAGTGAGACCCTATCTCAAAAAAAAAAAAAAAGGAACTGACAATTAAAACACATATACGTTATACACATTTGGTGAGCATTTTAATTGTTTTTTTGGTAAGAATTTGTCAGCATCAGATTTACAACCTAAATACTTAAACAGATGAAATTTAGTTCTTGAAATAAGGGGAGCTATACAGTCCTTATCCATATGGAATATTTTCAAACTATTGGTATATCTTTCTTTCTCTTTTGTTTTTTTTGAGACAGAGTCTCACTACGTAGTTGAGACTGACCTGGAACTCACTATGTAGCCCAGGCTGGTCTCGAACTCACAGCGATCCTCTTGCCTCAGCCTCCCGAGTGCTGGGATTACAGGCGTGCGCCACCACACCTGGCTTCTTTCTTTTTGATTGTACAAAAAATTTGTCTTATTTAGGTACACCTCATATTTCCTTATCTAGACAGAAAATATGCTGGAAAACAATTTTTATCTTGGTTTACCTTTGTCTTCTTGTAGTGTGGTTATCTTAACATTAGTTGTAGAATTTACTGATGCATTTCCAGCTATGCACCAGGGGTGGTGGCAGCCCCTGTAGCTGGGCTGGTGACATCCTCTGCCGGTGAGGTGGTGGCAGTCCCTGCAGCTGGGCTGGCGACATCCTCTGCCGGTGAGGTGGTGGCAGTCCCTGCAGCTGGGCTGGCGACATCCTCTGCCGGTGAGGTGGTGGCAGTCCCTGCAGCTGGGCTGGCGACATCCTCTGCCGGTGAGGTGGTGGCAGTCCCTGCAGCTGGGCTGGCGACATCCTCTGCCGGTGAGGTGGTGGCAGTCCCTGCAGCACTAGCTGTGGGATTAGGTTGGAGGGTGCTGGGAGGTGTGATGCTGGAAGCTACCTCTGTAGATTTGCTGACCGCAGCCGTGGAAGCGGCCTTGGTGGCAGCTGCAGGTGTTGGAGCAGAAGTGACTCTTGGCACTTGAGAATTGGGGCTGATACCATTCTCAGGGCACAGTATTGGCCTGAGAGGCAGAAGGCATGGGTACAGAGGGTGGCTGGGGTGGTGAGGGAGCAGGGGTATGGGGACATGTAGGTGATGAGGAGGCAGAGGCTGGGATGGTTTGGAAGCATGAGGACCATGGAAACGGTGAGCACCAAGGTGACCTCTTGGACCCCGAGGGACTATGAAAGCTAGTTGAGACTTTGTAGACTGTCTGTTGTTTCGATTGTACAGAACATCTCTTAATAGTCCAGACTTTCTTTGTGTAAGAACTTCAAAACCACGGCTAGACTTCTGAGAGAAAATATAGAAACAATTATTTTTTACACAGATGGAATGCATAAACTGAATCTAAACTTTAAATAGATGTTACATTGTCATTTAAATTTCCATAATTATTGTAACTTTATTCCATAGGTAATTTGAGAGAGCAATGTGCAAAGCTCACATACCATTCTAAATTTTGATCTTTGGTGAAATTTCAAGGAATTTTTTTACTGTTTATTTTTACTCTTTTCAGAACCTAGCAGAATTATTTAAAATAATTTGTCTTCTATGTCAGTTTGTCTTCTTTGATAAATTCTCTGTGGGAAAGATTTTGGTGGTCTGATAACTGGATAGGTTTAAGGGAAATGCATAACACACGTCTTTCTGGAAGACTTACTGCTAGTGCAATGTGCCAATGAATATTTAACACATCGAGGGATATGCAATATTTCCCAAATTTATTCACTGTGGGAACTTCATGTCTGTGGCCCTTGTGAAAACTTTATTGCAACAATGGCGTGGATACTTTTTGATTTAATTGCCTTCAGTGAGACAGACTTTAGCATTATAGTCCTTAGGATCTCCTATTAGACCCCACTCTTGAATTTTTATTTTACAGGTGTTAATGCTTGAGTCTAAATATGATAATCCAGGCTCCTCTCTAGGAAGCATTAGTTCTTGTCTGCTTTTGTGGTGTGTATCTCCCTCATGCTAGTATCTTTCAGACTAGGTTCAGGGCACTGGGGGAAGAAACTTCAAACACAGAGTCTGTCTGGTGCACCATGGCTTAATGCACTGCTGTGGTCTAGACCAGGAGAGCTCACACCCCAGGAAGACTTCCCTAAAGACCCAGAAGTCATTTTCAGTATGCAGCTGCAGAAGTTAACCTTACAGAAGAACTGCTGTAGCATTCTATTTTGTCATCTGTAGTCTGGACTGCCTTCAAGATTCCTATTACTATGTATATTTGCAATTCCAAATATGTTTCCAATCCTATTTACCTTTAGTCAACAAACGAAAACATGGCATAGTCACATAAATCATTGACTGGTGAGTGAGAAACAGCATACTCTCCAGCTGCTCACCTCCTTCTTCTAATCTCCATACTTAGGTATATGCTGGTGGGAAAACTAAAGATTGAGACATATTGAACAAGCAGATTGGTGGGCATTTTTTTTTTTTTGGTTTTTTGAGACAGGGTCTCACTATATAGTTGAGACTGACCTGGAACTCACTGTGTAGCCCAGGCTGGTCTTGAACTCACAGTGATCCTCCTGCCTCAGCCTCCTGAGTGCTGGGATTACAGGCGTGTGCCACCACGCCTGGCTCAGTGGGCATTTTGTTGGAAGGGGCATTTGTTAGGCCAAAAACATTGCTAGAAAGATACTTGTCTTAAGCCACATTATTTATTACTAGTATTTATTACTGGATAGATGAAGCCCATCTGTGTGTGTGTGTGTGTGTGTGTGAGTGTGTGTGTGTGTGTGTGTGTGATGCTGGGAACCAAACACTGGGCTTATATATGCTAGGTAAGTACTTTATCCCTGAGACATACCTCTGAGGCCCAAGGCCCCTGGCTGTTTTACAAAATTCATTTTCTCTGACAATCATAAACGTGAAGAAATGGAGAGCATGAAAAAGAAACTAGAGGAGAAGTAAGGTGTCAGAAGTGGTCTAAACTTTCAAGGTAAGTTTGGAATTTTTTTGTTTAAATAATATACTAGTTTGGGTCATTAAACCTGGGAATGTCTTTATCACAGCAGTAGAAGCAGAATAACTTTATTGACTTTGTTTCAATTAGAGTAGTTGTCTAGTGTGGGAATAGAGAGCAAGGGATGTAGCAGGACAACAATTTTAGGCAACACATCCTTCTATGTAACCCACTTCCACTCTGACATGAATGAAGGCTATGAAAATTAGAAAGGACAAAGAATAGACCCAAGGATCTGTAATTTTGAAAAGTCCAGATAATTTTGATCTGTTTTCCCTTTTTCAATGAACACCATTGATTTTAACAAAAGAAACTGGTTTTTACATTTTGTGGTATCATAGGAAATATTCCTTAGTAAAAAACCTTTAATATTTATAAGGAATCAAGCATACATCAAGAAAAGGAATACAGATAAGTATTGGTACAGAAGGCTGGGTAACTTTCCTTCTCCTTCACCAAGTGTTCAACTTCAAATGCAGGTTAACACATGTTTAATAGGCAGGCAAGATTTTGGTGTTTACAGGTTTCTAAACTTTGATATTCAGTGACTTTTTGGGCTCTCTTTTAAAATATCTTCTGTGAATAATATGAAAGGTATTGACTCCTTGGCATAACAAGCTTCTACTAATGACTGAAGATTAGAAATACAAATCAGAAATTGAAGAAAACTTACTCTGTGGTCTTTTAGCTTATGTGCATCAGCAAACTGAAATGAGATGGGAAACACAAATATAAAATTAGATACAGAGCACTGATGGCATTTTGAAAGGAATACTGATTGTAAGTCATTTATGAAGGTGAAATGCAGATCAATGCGGATGAGTACAACACAGTGCAACTTAAAATTTTCTGGTGTCATTATTAAACACGAGGGAACATTTTGACAATTTTGAAGTAGAAAGTTCATGAAATAAGGAGAATTTGTTTTTCTGGAATCCTTTAGGAAGAGCTTTCTCTTCTGCCATATTCATACATATATAGTGACAAGTGGTCTGCAGTTTCCAGGTTGTGCTGCACTTAACATCCCTTTTATTATGATGGCCATGCACCGGGGCTCCAAGCCTGGAGACCACTGGGAGGCAGTGTCTTTATGAACCTGGTGTAAGGGAAACAATCTGCATTTTGTGGAAGTGAAAAATGGATGACTAACAGAAGCCCTGGAGTAGGAGTTTTCACAGGATGGAAAAGGACCCTTGTTGCATTTTAGCATTGAATAACAAAGCAAGTACCAAAAAGTGTTTATCAGACAATCATTCATAAAATTATATTGGATTGTTTGCAGCAGTAGATACTGTGCCTTTCACCTTCCAGATAATGTAATTTAGGTACAGGTGCTGGTGTTGGTAAACCAATCTAAAAACATAGGATACCAAGGGCCTGTTCATAGTTGGAATTTAATATCATATCTACATGTTCTTAATTTCTTTGATTCATGTGAAATTCTTCATATTCTTGAAAATTTATTTTACAGTGTTCTGTATAAGTAGTTTTCCACTTCACACATTTAATTTGTGGAGAGCCTACCATGGTCAAAATTTTATGTAGCATTGCTTTCACAGAAGTAGAATTTTAGTATCTGCAATGTCCATCTCACCTGTTTGGAGTTCTAGAGACCACTAATAGGTGGGGAAAAAGAAAAATATAAATATTGTCTCCTACAGTCAATAGACAACCATAAAGCTGAGCTAAGACATTGGGCAGAAATAGTGAAAATATGATTTATGTAGTATAAATCTGCACTGGAATACCTTATCATATGCCTTATCATTCACAACTGAATAATGAGACAAGTATACGTAATATATTTTATATTTACCAAGAAGCAAGCAATTAAGGTCAGGATGACAGCCAAGAAAGTTGGAGCCTTCATCTTGTCTTAGGATTTCTACAACAAGGCATCAAAAGATAATTTATTTGTGATGAGACAATAAAAGAAATAAAAATTTTTGCTAAATATTAATAAAAGGGAAAACATTTAGGGTTATGATACCATATCAATGACATATATAATATCTATTATATATAAGGAACTTATCAAATGTATAAGAAAAATATTGAGTCCAAAAGATATGAGAAAAGTTTAAGAATAGTGAATTTCAACAGTAAGAGGGCCGGGGATTTAGCTCAGTGGTTCCGCTGCCTGCCTTGCAAGCACAAGGACCCGAGTTTGATCTCTGGTACCAAAAAACAAACAAACAAACAAAAAAACAATAAGACATAAAGTAGATAAATGTATAGAGAAGAGTTATTTATTGTCTCTATCAAAATGCATGCATTGTACTAACCTTTTGATCTAGTATTTTATAAATACTTAAGTTGTTTAAGAAGACAAATAGAAAAGATGACCCAGAGTGTTGTGATGCTAATTTTCTGTACATAAACAGTGGTTTTTATTAATTGGTAATTTTTTGAAAAGCTTTATAGCATTCCATTTGATCAAGCTATTCACCTGCTAGGTATCTTCTCAAGAGTTAGAGATACCACATTACAGTGATTCATTTATACCCATGTTTATTGCAGCAAAACTAATAATAGCTAACTGTTGGAAACAGCATCAATAGATGGATGTGTAAAGAAAATGTGATATTTACACACAATGGAATACTACTCTTCCATAAACGATAGACTGGAGACATTTGTAGGAAAATGGATGCACCTTGAGACCATATAATGCTAACTAAAATAAAACAGATACAAAGCTTAAATATCACAGGCTTTCTCTTACATGAGAAACCCAAAGTATAAATAAAGAGCAAAATAAAAGATGGATAATAGTAAATCAGGAGATGATCTTCCTCAAAGGAGAAAGGCATCAAAAGATGGAAGAAAATGGTATTGGCAAAGAAACAGACCCGAGGATCAGTGGAGTAGATTAGAAGATGCAGAAACAACACCAGACATACTCACCTACCCTATCTTGGCAAAGGAGCCAACCATCCTCACTGGAGGAAAGGTAGCCTCTTTAATAAGTGGTGTTGGCAAAACTGGATTTCAACTTGCTAAAGATTAAAACTATACTCCTATATTTCACCATTCACTAAACTGAGATACAAGTAAATTAAATATCTAAATATTGAAACAGAAACACTAAACTTATTGGAAGTTAAGCTAGGTAAAAGTCTTGAAGACAATGGCATAGGAAAAGACTTTATGAACAAATCCTCAGAAGCATGGGAACTAAGACAAAGAATCAACAACTGGGATCTCCTCTTTTTTGGGGGGTGGGTACCAGGAATTGAACTCAGTCCTTACGCTTGTGAGGCAGGCAGTGGAACCACTTAGCTAAGTCCCTGACCCTGGGATCTCATCTTTTTAAAAATCTTCTGCACTTCAAGAGAAACCACCAACAGAGCTAAGAGACAACCTACAATGTGGGGGAAATTTTTTACAGGCTGTTCCTCAGACAAAGGTCTACTATCTAGAATATATAAAGAACTCCAAACAATCAAATCCCCCAAATATAAATGTCCAGTTTGAGAATGGGCATCTAAAATAAACAGACATTTCTCAGACAAAGAAGTAAAAGCAGCAAATAAATATATGAAAAAAATGTTCAGCATCCCTGGTCATTCAGATGCAGATGAAAACACCACTGAGATTCCACCTCACCCCAGAAAGACTGTCTGCTATGAAGAAATCAACCAATAACAAATGTTGGCTGGCTTATGGGGAGAAAGGAACCCTTCTCCATTGTTGGTGGGAGTGCCAACTGGTGCAACCACTGTGGAAATCAATATGGAGATACCTCCAAGAACTAGGATTAGAGGTTCCATTTGACCCATCTGTTCCTCTGCTGGGTATCTTTCCAAAAGAATTAAAAGATCATACTACAGTGATATATGTGCACCCATGTTTATAGTGGCACAGTTTGTAATAGCTAAAACTTGGAAACAGCCAAATTGCCCATCCACTTGAGAATGGATAAAGAAGATGTGTGCTTAAAAAAAAAAAAAATGGAGTACTACTCAGCCATAAAGAATGAGAACCTAGAGACATTCATAGCTAAGTGGATGCACACTGAGGATATACTCTTATGTGAAATTAATAGGAAACTCATGTAAATACCATATTGTCTCTCTGGTGTGGTAAACTAAAAGTGTAAATAAGGGTCAAAATGTATAATTGATATTTTATAATAGGAAGAAAAGCTCTAAAGTTAGTGGGCAAATGGGAGGGGTAGGGGAAAATTAAAAAGGGAAGAGAAAAAAATAAGAGAAAAGAAAAAAATGGAAACAAATTATTTGTAAATTTGGAAGGGTGGAGGGGCCAAGGGAGGGTTAGGGGAATGGGGGGAAAATAAGAACCAAGAAAAGATACAAGATCCCAGTGATGAATGTAACTGTACTGTATACCTAATATGTACCAACAAAAATATATAAAAAAAACACAGAGGGAAGGGACAGGAAGATGAGAGAAAGGGGATGAAAAAGGAATTAAGGTAGGTCTGGCAATTTAGCTCAGCAGCACCACACCTGCCTCACAAGTACAAGGTCTTGAGTTGGATCCCTAGTACAGGAAGGAAAAAAGTAAAAAAGGAAATTAAGATGTGTCATGTGCATGTGCCAACTCCACATAAGGTACAAAATCATTAGGTACTAATAAAAAAACCTAAAAAAATTAGAGTATTTAAACATATGTGAGGAAAGATGAAAATGTTCACATCTTTACTTAAAATATCTTGGAGAATATTTTCTCAACAGAAAAAAACCCCAATAATGCTCATTCTGGTGTTATTTATAAGTAAAAATATAAATATGAGTGATCATGTAGACAATTGTATGAATTTGAAAAATGCTTGTAGTAAAAAGTGAAAAGTTTAAGTAACCACACTATATTTAAATAGTCCAAATCCTTCAGTGGCCTGCCTTGCAAGCACAAGGACCCGAGTTCAATTCCCGGTGCCCCCCCCTCAAAAAAAAAGTCCAAATCCTGTAGATGAAAGTAGAATATAAGCAAAAATACAAATATGTGCGGTATGATATGTGATTTATATATGGATTTTTGGGTGTAAAAATTGCCTTGTGTTATTGATTTTATAAGCTTTTGTAGAATCAGGAATACTCCACCATTGAGCTACATTTCAGACCCTGTCTTTATTTTTTTTGAATCAGGGTCTCACTATGTTGCCCAGATTTGCCTTGAACTGGAGATCCTTCTGCTTTGGCCTCCTGAACAGCTGGAATTCGGGCATGAGCCACAGGACCTGGTTTGATTTCACAATATAAACACTTAACAAAACCAAGAAAATTTCACTAAAATTATCTTCTGGAATTTTTCTACCTTACATACTTAAAACACCGGACAGAAAAGTGTCAACTTACACCTATGTATAATTTATAACTAAAATACAAAATGCATTCATTTTTCATCAGTATTATTATTTTAAAAGTAACTTTAAAAAGTTTGTTGCTCATGCTAAAGTTTTAATTTTATTTTGTTATGATCTTTACTATGAGATTTTCTTATCCCAACAAAATGCAAAGTCCTCTCACCTTTCCAACTGTTCTTATCTGAAATCTGTTATAAAATATGCTTTGTTAATAATTTGCAATAACAGATGATAGTTCAGGAAGGAACATTATTATTGTTATCATTATCATGTTTTTGATTTGCTTTTTTGAGGCAGGGTCTCCCTTTGTAGTTCAGGTTGGCCTTGCACTCACTGTGTAGCCCAGGCTGGCCTCAAAGTCTTGGCAATCCTCCTGCCTTAGCCCCCTGAGTGCTGGAATTACTGGCACGCGTCACCAGCCTTGGCTAGAAATCATTTTTTGATTAAAATTCATTTAACTAATTCTTCTTCTGTAAAGAAAAGTGACTGAAACTGTTTCTAATCTTTAAATGAAAACATTTATAGCATGATAGGAACCACATTGATGAAGCAATCCTGAAGAACTGCTAATTTTTAACGTCACTTTATTCCTGGACATCTCTGTGACTCTAAGGGAAGACCATCTGACTAACAGTCACAGGCATTGAGTTGTCTTTGTGCCATCCTTGTTATATTACTACACATATCAGAGGTCTGTTTGTCTAGTTTTAAAAAAATAAAGTGAAAGATTTGCTTACTTGATAAAGTGGTCAGACTTTATTGAAAGCCAAATTCATAAGGGCCTTTGCACCACAGAAAATTCATCATTTTGAGCAAAATATGACATATTTTGATTTTTTTGCCCTCCTTTTGTAATAAAAGTGGTAAGTAGGATGGACAAAATCAACTAATAAAAAAACCAACCCAGTGATTTCTTGTGTAATTTAATAAAGTTGACTCTTCTGCTACTAAGAAAATTTTCATCTTGATACATACAAAACTAAAATGTGTATTTATGAATAACCACTTCAAAGGCATCTGAGATTCCAGACAAACTATATTAATTGCCATTTTTGCTAAAATTATCACCATTTTATGAAAGAATTTGGATAAAATTTATAAACTGAGAACTTGTTGAAGCATTCCTTTTTTTCTGTTTATACATTGAAAACTCTTGTCTACTAGAACTCTCAAAGATTAATAATGTATTTTCAGTGCTGGGGATCAAATGCAGGACCTTGCATATGCTAAACAAGCACTCTACCCCGAGCTCCATTCCCAGCCCACAAAAATTGGTTTTTAAGCCTTTTGAAAATTGAAAAATTACACTGTACCAGTGGTCCACTTGCGTGTCCAGCAAGGGCAGGCTTTGCACTGCTTCTGAAGTCTGGATGCTTGGAGGACAAGTAGAGGAGATTTGTGCCTTAGGAAGGTGTTCTTTCTTTTATCATTTTTATTTTGCTAAGAAAAATATTATTATAATTATTTTAGAATTTCCTTTTCTACTAATCCAAACTATTTCCTGGAACATAAAGGACAAGCCTTACAATTTTGAAAAGTTG